AAAATTTTGAAAATTTCCGTGTTTGTTTTATTTTTTAAATCTTGTTTATTTCTCTGTAGTCATTAGCAGGAAGACTCCCAAACCCTTGAAATCACAAAAGGCCTATGTGATAACCTTTGAAAAGAGCAAGTAAAGGGGAGCTGAAGATATAGTTTCTTGCTCCTCCCAGGGCGGGGCTAATGGGAAGACCCCATGGAACAGAGTGACTGGTGACAGAGGTCAAGTGCTTAAGGTCTGCCTGCAGGCAAGAAAGGGAGGTCCGTGAACTGTCCAAGGTTAGGGAGGGGCCCTGGGACATGAAAACAGAAAATCCTGATAGGGCCTCTAGTAACTGGAGTTATTCAGTATATAGACAGGAGTATTTTTAAGATAATGAGATTCCTGCAGAGGACGGATAGAGTTATAGAGGGGATGGGTGTTGAGGATAAGGGGTGTTGTAGATTCTATTATGAGTCTATTGATTCTATTATCACTGAGACATGGAAATTAAATATAGATGGATTATTTCAAAGGATAGTTCCAAGTCCAGAGGTTATGCCTAAGATTATACATTGATAAAAGCCTGTTGTATATTTGCATAACTCTTTACAGTAAACAAAGTGTTTTCACAGACTTTACCTCCAATATGCACATTATCTTCTTTAATTATTCACTAGTCAAATCACTCCAATCTAGCTTCCACTTCTACCACTCTACGAATTGTTTTCAATAAGTGACCTATTTTCTACATAAAATCAATGTTTTTCATCCTTATCTCATGAGACTCAAACTCTTTCTGCTCCTGCCTTCAGTAATGGCACACAGTTCCACTTATACTCCTGTCTCTCTGACCATGCCTTCTTGATCTCCTATTCCCATTGCAGGCTCTTCGTGCATCTTAAAAAGTCGGGAATATTTAGGTTTTTGTCCTTCCTCTTGTCTATTTCTCAAACTCCAAATCTTCTTGGACAATCACTTCTAAATCCATGGCTTCAACCAGCAACTAGTTACCCATGTTTCCCAAATATCTCCAGCCTAGTCACCGTTCCTGACCTTCAAATCAGTTTTTCCTACTGTATACTGAACATCTTCACTTGGACATCCCAGAGGATTTTCAGATCTGGCATGTCTAAAATGGAATGAATCATCCGGCCTTCTAATTTTCTCCTTGCTTCTCTCTCAGTGTTTCCAAAGTTGTTGGATTATAACATTGTTTCCCAACATCCAAACCGTTAACTCAGAGATTGTTCTGGATCTTTCCCTATTTCACACTCATAATCAGTCACCAAGTGCTGTTGTTTCCTAACCATCTCTTGAACCTGTCCCCTTTTGCCACCCCCTTTGTTATTGCTGTAACTCCCATATTAACCGTCTTTTGCTGGACAACTGTAGAAACTCCCTGCTGCAGTCTTAGATTTCATCAGTTCAACCTCCACCTCACAGCCTAAGAGCTCTTTCAAAAACACAAACATTACGGTGCCACTGCCCTGCCACACTTGCTCACCACTGCCTTCAGGATTAACAAACAAATTTTACACCTTGGCATGGAGTTCATTCTGTCACATTTCTACATTTGTACCTTACCACCCACTCCTCCTTCCTAGACACCACATGTGTAAGTCACATTATGCTCTGGATAGTTCCCCATCACATATCCTCTGCCACACCTCTGTGCACATGTTATTCCCTCTGTATTGACCATTTTTCTCATTCTCTCTTCTACTCAGCTCAGACATCACTTCCTTTCTGACATCTTTCCCAGCTGTCCCTTCCCCCTGAGGAATTAAGAGTCTCTTCCATGTTCCTCTGGCACCATGTGCAAAACTCTATATTGATCCTTATTCTGTATTTTAACAGCCCATGTATGAATCTATCTCCTTCAAAGATGTAAACTCCTTAAGCAGATACCATGTACCAACTCTCTTTGTGCCCCAGCAACTAACAAAGCACCTGATTTGTAGTGGATTACAAGCATCTACTGAATGAACAAAGCGCGTTCTGCCCAGAGAAAAAATCAGCCAAAATAAAAAATCACTGAGAAACCTATAAAAAGTGATTGACTTCTGTTGCAGTGCATTTGAGCATTAACACAGCTTGTACATCTCTGACAGGCATGCCTACATCACCTAGGATCGGTGACCTCCAAAAGTTCTAGCACTACTCTTGCCTACTGCTAGTGCTAGGACTACAGGAAGAAAGAAACAAATGAGGTTTGGGGAGGCACCCTGGCCTTTTATGATCACTCATGCCCTTGACTGGCTTCCTAGATACCCCAACCTCCACATTCATAAGCTTTACCAAGAGATAATAAAGAGGATAAAAAAGGGGAAACATTTATAAAATGAGGTTAGAAGGGCACTTTGGAGAGGCCCAACATGAGCAAACAGGAAGCAAAAGTTCAGCTCTCTAGAGAAGAAAGAGAGCATCATGTCCCATGGCTCCCATCTGCAAGGGGAGCTCAAAAAACAGTTCACGAAACAAAGTCACGGATCCATCCATGAATCAGAAGGGAGACACTGCATGTCAACTGGCAGGGCAAGAAATTCAGAGACAAAAGGTGTGTATCTCACCTGAAAGTGGGTAACGTGTGACCTTAAAGAAAATTGCAAAGCAGGTAACCCAAGGCAGGCCGAATGCCCGTGGGAGGTGGCAACAAGTTTATGCCGCAGTAGTCAGTTGTGTGGTCTCTGTCGGCTTACCTTCTGTGGACAGTGTCCTAAATCAGGGGCTGTGAGATAAATCCAACCCATGGCCTATTTTTGAACAGCCTGTGAGCTAAAATAACTTACATTTTAAAAATATTGTGAAAAAAAATAACAAAGAAGAGTATGCACCAGAGACCATATGGCTGCAAAGCCTAAAACACTCACTATCTGGCCCTTTCCAGAAAAACTTTCCTGACTCCTGTGCAGAGCCTGCTGTACAGCTAAGCCTTATATTCTACTTACTTCTAGAATAGTTTATAGAACTGCACGCTCTGGGGTGAAGTTTGTGAAAATTATGCTCTTATTACATTATTATGGCCAATTTGGATTTCTCCATGTTAGAGGTTAAAAAGTGGACTTCATTATCTTGCTTCTATGTATGATTTCTATTTGTGTAGAAAGCCTCTATGTTCCAGTGAGGGAAAAGCATAGGACGGAAGGTAGGAGAACTGGTTTCCAGTGACAACATCAGAACTGGTTATAGATCTTAGGCAGCTCACTTAACATCTAATTTTCTAACGTTCTAATTTTCTAATCTGCAAAATGGGGATAATGCCAGCCTTACAATCCTTGCATGGTGTGAGGATTCAGTGAGATAACAGATGTAGCATGCTTTGCAAAGTTGAAAGGGAGATACAAATAGAGGTATTATTATAGATGATGACATCATCAACCCTTAATTATGACTACTTTGGGGGAAGATGAAAGACAGATAAATTAAACATTAGTTATTAGTGGAACTTTCTTCTCATTTATTCTTTTATCTCTTTCCTTTTTAAATCTTTAATAAAACTAACAAGTGTCAGGGCTGATTGAATTTAAAGTTTTTATCTCTTAATTAAACAGATTTGTGTATTTGTTAATTGTATATTATGTGCTCAGTACCTATGGGAGGAGGGAAAGTGAGCAACGAATGGCCAAAGGCATCATTAGAATTAGAGGAGAAAGGAAGCAAGAAACCTAGAAAATTAAAAAAAAAAGCAAAGCAAAACAAAAAACCCCTTTTAGGATCAAAACCCATCTCTTTAAAGCTGGTTAAAATTGTTTCCATTCAGGACCTAACTCAAGGTTAACCTGCCTGGCAGTGCCATGAACTCAAATACAGTCTGACATTCTCTTCTGCATCAGAGACAATGCTATTTTTACTAGGCCCTATTCCACTTCCTTTTCCTGAGCACACAGGAAGACTGCATTTCTCAGCATCCCTTGCTGTTACTTTGGGACATATTACTGGTTCTGGCCAATGAGTTTAAGCATAAGTAACATGAATTACTTCCCAGTCAAAGGATAAAAGGACAGCGTGAGTTTTCCAAGTACCCTCTTTTCCCTTGCTCTGGAAAGCTCATGGAAGCTCCATATCAACATGGCAGAGACATAAGATGGAAATGGCTTCAGTCCCTGAACCGAGCCATAATTTGAAGGGGAGATATGTGGGCGAGATGGAAGCATCTCCTTTATATGAAGAAGGAAGTTTCTTTTTTGAAATAAGTCACTGGGATTTCAAGATCTGTTTGTTAATGCAGACTTAGCCTATTCTGACTAAGACATTTTCCCTCCAGGTTGGGTATCATAATCAATATTATTCTTTATTGAAATTCACAATTCAATATTTTAAAAAACTCATTGTTATTACTGAGACCATAGAAATGTTAATTTTTCCACGTTTGTCTTTCTGTACACCTTGTGTATCTGTCTACACTGTTATCCCTAACACTAGACCCAATAAATCACAATTATTTGTGGGTTAGGGCTTGTTCAATGACTGTATATATATATATATATATATATATATTATATATATATATAATATATATACACATATATAGATAAATGACTCATCTTACATATATATTATATATGATATATATATATGATTATATATATAATGACTCCTGTCTTAGAGCCTTAGTTGTTTCTTCTACCTAAAACATTCTTGCCCCAGATGTCTCCTTCGCTAACTCCCTTATCTCCTTTAACTCTTTGCTTATGTCTCATCTTCTCAGTGAGGCTCGCTCTGACTATTCTAGTTAACATTACAACCTGCACCTATGCACACACACACACGCACACACATACTCACACATACACTACAAATCCCTCATACTCTACTCTATTTTTACCTTTTTTCTCATAGAAAATTTTACCTTCTAATATATTATACAATTTTTTTAAAAAAATTATTCTATTCAATGTATTGTACAGCTAGAAATAATTACTGAGTTATATTTGATAACCAATTCTGCATGGAAAAGTCACAGTTCCTAATACAGCAAGAGTTACAAACATAAATACAAGAAGTCAAAGGCATCAAGAAAATGTAGCTTATTTATATCCTATAACTAGTCTAATTTTCCCCACCTTGCTATAGAGCAGGGGGAAGATTAAATTTGAGAAGTACCCCAGCGTCTTCTGATGCAGTTGGTTGTGGGTAACTCAGCTTAATCTTACAAACGCCCTCCAATTCAGTCTGCTCCTTCTCCAGGCAATGCTAGCTGAGTGGTGGGAGATGCTTGGCAACAGAAGATGGAGGCTTGGATCTGCGCACGCAGGTGCTTGGGCCATCTTCTGGGTTCACTGGCTTGGATGACATTACATCATGCCTTCCTGACTGCTGGGTGTCCTGCTGGCATGTACTGCTGAAGTCTGCAGAAGAGAAACTTGGGGTCTGTTCACTTGGCTTGACCAGGGCCTGATCATGTGGCCCCCACTTTAGCCCTAAATGGTTGGACCCATCTCTATCAATCTCACCCATATTCTCTATTTGGCCTCTAGATAGACCATAAGCACTATTGCCTCAGAGAAGTGTCACTTTTTCCCTTGTCATGGAAGCCTTTTGGAAGGGCTGCTGGCAATGGAGGAATTCTAGGTCCATGCCACTCCACCTGGCGGTAGAGGGAGGTTTAGAAGCGCTGACTCCAGCCCTCTCTCTGCTTAACTATTCCTTAGCATAATTTTTGCTCCCATGTGGCCACTCCACTTAGATGGTTGGGGAGGGGTCCCCCTCTGAAACTATGCCCTTCCGGACTCCCAACTGGAAAGCAAGGCAAAAAAACCATTGCTTTTGGCCTTCTCATTCTAACATAAACCTCTGGGCATCAGGAGGCTATGAGATGGCACTCAGTGATCTCTACCTTTGGATAATCATACTTTTGTGTACTTTTCTCCTTTTGAATGTGGGCTGGACTAGTGACTTGCTTCAGATGAATAGAATATATCAAAAGTGATAAAATGTCACTTCTGAGACTAGGTTTACACAAATATTGTGGCTTCTGTCTTGCTCACTTTCTCTGGCTTTCTCACTAGCTCACTCTGATGGAAGCCAGTTGCCATGTTGTGAACTGTCATACAGAGAGGCCCACATGGCAAGCAACTAAGGGAAGCTCTGGTCAGCACCCAGCAAAGAACAGGGACCCTCAGTCTAACTGCCCATTAGGAACTAAATCCTTCCAACAACCACAACCACCATGTAAGCGAGCCTCGAAGTGGATTCTCCTTCAGTTGAGCCTTCAGATGAGAGGTAGCCTTGGCTAACACCTTGATGTCAGCCTTATGAGAGGTCCTTGAGCTAGAGGACCCAGCTGGAGAATACCCAAATTCCTAACTAACTCACACAAATAAAAGCCTGTTGTTTTTAGTCACTAAGTTTTGGGTGAGGGGGAAGCATTGGTAATTGTTTATTTCCTCTACCTCTGCTCCCTTTTTCTCACTCACTCCTGGGAGAGAGGGTGTGGGATGTCTACTTCCTCTTCCTGAACGCTCAAAACTCCTTCTATGTCAATGTCAGCCCTCTTTTTCCCTAGGGCAGTGAGCCTCATGGTCAAGCTACTACAAGCACGAAGAAAAGCCTCTCCACATTATGGCAGAAACCATATGGTTCTTTATAAATGGGAAACACACTAGCAATCAGAGACTGCTGGTAGGGGAGGAGGGCAGAGAAGAAGAATTCTTTAAGAACCTTGAGATATTAATTTTATTATATTAGGAAAGATGACTTAGAGCAAATGTTAAACACTCTAAAGTGGGAATGCAGTTCTGCCTATAGAGGAAATATGAGCCAAATTTTCTGACTCAGAAAATTATTTATTCATTCTTTTTGTAACTATTTATTGATTCCTTCTGTGTGCCAGGCAATGGGTTAAGCACTGTGAATCGAATGATAACTAAGACCCAGTCCATTCCCTCAAAGAGTTTATAATCCAGTGGTAGAAACAGACAAGTAGTCAGGCATCATAGGTCACACATTGTAGTGTAATACAGTGGGTAGCATGCAGGGGACCAGCTAATCCAGTCCTGGAGTCCAGGGAGACTTCTTGGAAGAGGTGATGTCTGAGCCCAGCCCTGAAGGACTGGGGGAATCAGTTCAGTAAAGCTGTGGGGAGAGCATGTCAAGCCAAGGGAGGAACATATACAAAGCCCAGAGAGAGAATGGGTGGCAAGTTTAGGGAAATGTGAACAATTCAACAAATTAAGATGTGAAGAGATGGAAAGTGTTGAGAGATGAGCAGAAAATTCAGCTGTGAAATTTTCAAGAGGAGCCTTATAAATTATAAGAATTTTGAACTCTATTCTGAATAATAGGAAAGTCATTGAAGAGTTTTAAGTAGTTTAAATCAAGTGTAACTATAAATATATAAAAAGTAATGGAAAACTCAAACCAAAAAAACTGAATGTATGAGAATATTTTCATACTTGGGGGAAATGGGGAGGACGTTCTGAAAAAAGATCTCAAAAGAACAAACCAAAAGAGAACAGGTGGATTTGATTACATCAAAATTACAGATTTCTGCTCAATGAAGGACTCTATAGGCAAAGTTAACAGGGAGCCAGAGATATCTTAAAAAGAGAGAGAGATTATATCTAGAATGTCTAAGCAACTCCTGAAAATTAGCAAGAGAAACACAGAGTATCCAATAAAAAAAAATGAGGGAAGGATAAAAATGGGCAATTCAGAGAAAAGAAGGCTGACTGGCTTAACCTTACAAGTGACTGGAGAATTGTAAATTAAAACAACTTGAGATACCCCTCTTCACAATCAGATGGGCACAATTTAGAAAGTCAAAGGAGGTTGTAAGTAAGTAGGGAAATGAAATTCTCAGCCATCACTGGTGAGACTGTGGGTTGGTGCTGACATTTTGCACAGCAGTCTGTTAGAACTCGGTGAAATTCAGTATACTGACAAACACCCAATGATACAGCAGGAGAATACTACTTCTTGTATATGTCCCAGAAAATTCTGCATAAGTCCACAGAAGACACGGATGAGAACGATGATTGAATACATGGTGGTTTGCGGTAGCAAAGAGTTGGAAGTAACCTAGGTGTCCATCACTAAAGGCATGCATGCACATATGTGGTACTTGCTGCTGATGGAATATGTAGAAGTGAGAAGAAATTAGCTAAATAGACACGTATCAGCATGGAAGATCACAAAAATAAATTACTGAGTGAAATAAGTATAAAATAGAATGAGGTTTATAGCACAACTCCATTTATTTCTATTTAAAAACACTGTTTATATAAATTTAACAACACGCATTTTCAAGGAGGCATATTTATCTAAATAAAGAAGGAAAGTGGAATGGAAGGACATATATTAAATATAATTAAAAGTTGCTATCAATAAGGTTGTAAGAGAATGGGAAAGAGGATAAAGAAGAAAAACAATAATAATGAAATAAGAAAATAGCATTAAAACTGTGCTGAGTTGAATAGTGTCCCCTCCAAATTCATGTCCTTCCTGGAAACTCAGTCTGTGACTTTATTTGGAAATAGGGTTGTTGCAGAGGTAATTAGTTAAGATGAGGTCATACTGAAGTATGATGGGCCTTTAATCTAATATGATTGGTGTTCTTATAAGAAAAGAAGGGTCATAGAGACAGACACGCACAGAGAGAAGACAGCGTGAAGACACACAGGGGGAATGTCATGTGACAATAGAGGCAGAAATTGGAGTGATGCATCTACAAGCAAGGAATGCCAAGGATTGCTGACAACCACCAGAAGCTAGGTAGAGACAAAGAAGAGTCTTCACCTAGAGCCTTCATAGAGAGCACAGCCCTGCTGACATCTTGATTTCAGATTTCTATCCTCTAGAATTGTGAGGCAATACATTTCTGTTGTTTTAAATCACCAAATTTGTAATACTTTGTTGTGGCAGCCCTGGAAATCTAATACAAAAACAGGAAAAAAAGGCCCTGCCCAGACCCATGAAAATGGCCATGAGCTGATATATATGCCCCTAAGTTACTAGAACAAATAAAGACTATGGTGGAATTCTTTTTGGGTTTTTTTTTTTTTTTTTTTTTTTTTGGTGAGGAAGATTCGTTCTGAACTAACATCCATTGCCAATCTTCCTCTTTTTTTGCTTGAGGAAGATTAGCCCTGAGCTAACATCTGTGCCATTCTTCCTCTATTTTGTATGTGGGTTGCCACCACAATATGGCTTGACAAGTGGTATAGGTCTGCACCCAGTATCTGAACCTGTAAATCCGGACCATGGAAGTGGAGTGCATTGGACTTAACCACTACGCTATGGAGCTGGCCTCTGGAATTCTCTTTTATTCTGGAATTGGGGGACAATATTAACATTCACATGGGAAGGCAACACCATGCTGTCTAAGACATACTCCATAGGATTGTTCTTTGCCAGGGCTGTGGTCCATTTAGGCTGCCTCCACGGTTGTGGAAGAGTAGCCAGCAAAGAAGGTGTTCCTTCTTCAGTACATATTTAGAAACACAGCCTGAACTTGCTTAATCAAGGTAGGAGTAGAAAAAAAAAGTCTGCCAATCATTTCTACAGAGGTTCTTAGGTCCCTATCAATGAAGTTTATTCCTGAGAGTGATTATGTTAAATTATGATGAGGAACAAAAACACAAAAACTGGCCCCAAACCTCAGTTAACTGTTGGCACTTGAGGAAAAGTAAGTGAGCATCTCAGATTATACCCTAAAATCTGATTTGTTCCTAAAAAAAGTGAACACAAATTGCCCCAGAACTGATGGTCTGAGTGTCTTCTTTAAAGTTATTGTTACTTTGATTTAGGAAGCAGAGGCCGCTAGTTCCTAAAGCAGTTGCCTGTACCTGTTAAAACTCCCAGTGGGGCCTTTCTTCCCTGCTTACACCCCTCCCACAGCCTTTCAGATCCAGGACCTTAATATCAGAAAGAGTCTCAAGACACATTCTCTAAATCAGTGGTTCTCTATCTATCTACCCTCTACCTATCTATCTAGCAACTATTTATTTACTTGTTTTCCAGATTTATTGAGGTATAATTGACAAAATTTTAAGATACAGAAATTGTATAACGTGATGATTTGATATACATATACATTATGAAAGCATTCTCCCATCGAATTAGTTAACACAGCCATCACCTCATATATTTACTCTTTGTTTTTCTTTTTGGTGAGAACATTTAAGTTCTACTCTTTTAGCTAATTTCAATTATACAATATGGTGTCATCAACTATAGTCACCGTGGTATATGTTAGATCCTCAGACCTTATTCATCTTATAGCTGAAAGTTTGTACCCTTTTACCAACCTCTCCCTATGTCCCTGACCTGGTAGTTCTTAATATAGATTGTCATAAGATTCACTGGGTGATGGTTAAACTGTGGATTCCTCAGGCTCATATCTCCCCAAACCTTCCCCTCACTTCCCCCACCCCACCCTCCACCATGTTCCCCTAGAGATTCTCATTCAGGAGCTAAATTGGAACCAAAATAATCTGCATTTTATTAAACAAAAAATACTTCAGGTGATTCTAATGTAGATTCTCTGACAATATTTTGAGAAACAATTTTCTAGACTTTCCAAATTTAATGTGCCTAAGATTCATGTGGAGTCTTGTTAAAATGCAGATTCTGATTCTCATTAAGTCTAGGGTGGGACTTGATTTCCAGCATTTCTAACAGGTTCCCAGGTGATGTGGACACAGCTGGTCCACCGACGACACTTGAGGTGAGAAGCTCTTAAAATCGGGTGCCCCAGCTGCATCACAGACCAGTGGATTCAGAATCTCTGGGAGTGGCCCCCAGAATCAGTAGTTTGCAAAAACTTCTAGATGATTCCAGTACATAGCTAGGTACTAGGCTACAATGCCAGTAGCCACTTCCAGGTGGCAATAATAACTTCTAACTCACAGACTTTATCCAGGCAGAGATTAACAGTAACTGGTATTTCGAAAGAAGAAATGACTAACTTCAAAGGAGTGAAATTTAAGAAAAATAAAGCCTTGGTATAACCATAATATTTTTTATTGAACAAAATCTTATTTCACAATTGTTTTACTGCCTCAAAGAACACTGGAATTACTCTCCTCATGTTATTTTCCAGCTAATTAAAAACTGGCAGTTGTGGATAGACCTTATGTTTTTGTCACTTGAGAGTCAGAGTTTATTGTGATATTTTTTCTCCTTTGTGTCTGGATTTCTAAGCCTCCTGATTTCTACTCCTGATTTTTAAGCCTCTTACTGTACTGGTTAAGCAGCAGAATAGTGGTTCTGAGACACGGCTGGAGAGCCCTCCACATGCCCCTGTGGGTTAACAAGGGTTAGAATGTAAAAGACATCAGGACAGTCACATACTCGGTACAAGTGTTGCCCAATTTCCCTCAACCGAGCACCCACCTGTGGTCAGGAACTGCCTTCTGGCGGCAGATAGCTGATTGTTCTGCCCAAATCTGGAAGCCGGGTTCCAAACCTTTTTTCCCTTTTTTTTCTTCCTCTTGGTGGCCTTTTCCTTTCACCCAATGATTGATCAACAAGGAAGCTATTTATGTAATTAAATTCAGATTTCTATAACTCCCACCTGCTTCTGTGGTAGCTTCAAAGGGGCTTCCTCCATGACATTAGCACCTAGGAGTCAACCTTCTTCAGTTCCTGACCATTCAAGGGGATGATATACGTGTAAAGTACCTTGTAAACTGCATTCTGCTAGGTCCTCTGATTGTTGATAGTAGTAGTTACTCAGGAGAAGTCTTTTTCTGAGGTGATCAGGAGTAGCATTTGGCCAGATAATCAAACGTTTGTCTAAAACAAAGAATTGTTTTAAAATAATGTAAACTATCAAAATGTACTTTAACCTACAATATTCGTAGGCTGAGTTGGCATTCAGCCAGCACATGCTGGCATGGCTGTACAATTGTCTAAGTCTGAGCATCCTTTCTGATGGGACAGGCATTTGTTCGAATTGGTAAGTGTCAAAACCACACTGCTTATGAAACATTTGAATATAATCTCTGTATATTCATCAATCTTTTGACGTAGGATCAAAGTCATTTCTTTGAGTGTAGGTCTTCTCATGGGAATTCTGATTCTTTCTTCCCATAAATCACTTCTATAACATATCATCCTGAATTTCTGGTTTTAGTTTCTTTTGTGTACAATGAGAACTAAAAATCACTTTAAAAGCAGAATACAGATTTTTACAATTTTAAGATAATCCCCCCAATCTTTTAGAATATCTCACACACATTTCTTTTAACAGAAATTTTTAAATCTCACCATAATGAGTCTTGACAAAACATTCAATCTAGTTTTCATAGAATCCGCAACTTTCTTTTCATACTCATATTTATATTCTATAGGTTTACAAAATATCTAATTAAATTACGCAATTACAAGAACAAGCACAACTGTCATACATGTTTGGGCACAAACACAATGATCCTCGTCAACATATAATTCAACTGGTGGGAGTGGATGTTTGCAGGCATACTAGAATTTACCCTACTAGTTGCAAGGGTTCAATCTACCAGGGATGTTGATACTTGACAGAAATACATGAAGACAATGGTATTCCATCATTTTTTGACCTACAAAACCTGCAATTCAATATGGTTCAACCAGAACTTTCACAGAGTGATGAAAAGCTGTTCTGTGAGTTAAGTGCAGATCAACTAAAGAGGCTTCTATTGTAATATTAAAAGAACAGATATGCTTTTCAACACTGTGCTTCCTCTTTAAAATTTTTGGGCTGTACTTATAGATGGCGCTGATCCTTCTGCCAAGCATTTCACAAAAGCTTTCCTCTGACTCCAAAAGAAAAGTTCTTTAAAAAAATCCTAACGTTAAATATGTTTGGGAAACACCACATACCATACCTATCTAGGAGATTCATAATGCTCATTAGCATATTAAAGGCTCTGAGAAGTCCCACAGCAAAGGCCTTTGTTTAACTTTGTTTACCTTAGGGTTTCATAAATTTATTGACCAAAGTAGGCCGTTTCATATAACATCTAATCCTGAAGAGCTAATGTTTAATGAAACAAATACACGTTAGTAAACACTACCCAACTAGTATTAAGGAAAGTATTATTCTGATTTTGCAGCAGATTAAACAAACACTGTCTTAATATCTGTTCAAAACAGCACAATTTGTGCAGGTGTCCCAAAGCACTATACAAATTTCATTTAGTGGCAATGTTTTCCCCTGTACAAATAGAGAAACAAAGATATAAAGATGCATTAGGTTGCTTGCCAGAATACACACAATATTGAGACAAACTGGAACCAAGGCCCACATGTCCGAACAATGATTTCTAAGCTGTGTTTACAAACAGAACCAAATTGCAAATCATAGACACTTGCCGTTTCCAACTGCAGTGTCTAGTTAAGTAAAGTTCTGCCTTGGTAATTGTATTTTCACTTAATGAATTTTAACTGAAAACACTTGTAAAATTCAAACATATGTAATTTTTGGTATTTTTCTTCACATATTTACTTCTTTAGGGGTAGTCAATAGTTAGTCTCTTTTGTTAACTGAGTGAAGAAAGTAGAAGGAATCCTTTACCACTCACTTAAACATACATCTTATTGAGGAGTAGATTATATTTCTTCATGTTATTTTAACATTAAATCAAATTAGAACTAAGGTAAAAAGTGTACTCCTTGAACCAGAAATAGAAGACAAGACTTTGGAGCTCCTGGGTCAGAGTAACACTGACCTATGTATTAGATTGCTGGTGACTTCCATCAGTAATTGAGAGCAGAGACTCTATAAAATCTCCAGCAGCTACAGGGACTCAAGGATCTACTCTCTTAGCTCAGAAGCTCATTGAAAAAACAGGACATGAATATATGGCTCTCTGTTGGCGAGATTCCGACCTTGAGAGAATGAATCTCAGTCATTTATAAAGTTACACAGATTTATGTGTTCTGAAGCTTGTCAGAATAATGGGTATTTCCCAGCACTTTGGAATTGCATGCTACGTGACAGGGGAATAACTTTCAGAGCATACCTGCTCACCCCTCTGCCAGGGCTGGGAGGTGGGGAATGGTGATGTGCGACTTAAGAATCAGATTTATAGACATCCTTGCTCCATATACGTTATCTTTGAATACTCTCCCACAATAGGGCCTCATTGCCTCTGTCACAAACAATATCTGTTATTTCAGAACACTGAGGTGCTTTACCTCAAGGCCGAGCGAGAGTTGTCAAATAGAGATGAAGAGCCTTTTGGCAAAAAAAGTGCCCTTAAAATGTTTACCTTCTCATACCTAATGGTTTTAGATCATATCTTATTAGCCTAGGAGACCATTATATAAAGTACAATTATGATCTCCTTGACATTTTCTAGGATTTCCAATTCAGCTTTGCTAATGGCTATAACTTCATTGCTTTTTTTTTTTTAATTTAATGCCATACAGTCGTGGAAATGCAGTTTATAATAATGTGGACTACCCAGTGTGCACTTGCAGTAATTACACAGAATGTCAACAGCCTCTCAAGCTGGGTCCTGTGTTGATTGCTTCTTGTGACAATCTTATTTGGTCAACTTGTTAGAATTACACCTCTACCTGCAAGCTCCTGCCCCTCCAAGAGTGTTCAAAAAGTGTTCTCCAAACTTTCGATTTGATCTCATGTATTGAGTTTAATATTCCCCAGATTATAGGAAGAAATTATAGCTGGGCCTAAGAATGGGATAACTGTTCCCATGGCCAGTATCTCACGCATGCTGTCAGCAACCTGCAATCAAGAAACATCAACTGAGCGTCTATTATATATTCGACACTGTTTTAGGCACTAAGGACACTGAGCTGAATAAGATCCTCTTCTGCTTCACTGTTATGTGTTGAAGTAAGAGAGTTCAGAAGCATCTTTCCACCCACAGAAAAATTTCTTCACAGACGAAAAATCCCACAGGAATTAAAACGAGCCACTGAGTTCTATTCCAAATCCCTTTTCCTTTTTTTCCATTTACAGTTTTTTCCTCCCTGGGTCCATGCTATCTAGAGGTCTGGTTATAAACAGACTTTATGTGGTCCATGACTTGGTAAATAAATAGCTAAAATTTATGTGGTGCCTATGCTGTACTGGGCTCTGTTATAACCACTTATGCATAATCCTCATCATAAATCTATACAGCAGATATTATTAGCTCTACTTTATAGATGAGGAAACTGAGGCACACAGAGATTATTTTTTTTAATTTAACACAGCTTGTGAGTGGAGGATCTGAAGTTTGAACCTTGATTATTTGCAGTCAAAGAGCCTGATACTGCTCTGCCATTAGGAGGGAAGTCCTGATAAAGGATCAGTATGGCAAATTAAACAATATAGTCCCCAGAAGATGATTAACATATGTCATAAAACCAGGCTGGCTGAAAACCAAGCGGGTCAGGACAGGAAAAGAACAAAGACTTTTCCCTTAGCCATCCCTGCTTCAGTACCTAGGGCACCAATTCCTTTGTAAAGAGGGATGGGGTTAAAACAAGAACAGCCCTGCGTGTGATTGTTTTGTTTTAAATACACTAACACTTAGATTAACTGCTTAGTGTCCCACAAAGGTGATCCCACAGGAGAGATTCACTCAGCCAACCTACCCAATTGTGTTCTAGTTGTAAAGTCCTGAATTAAAGGCACTCCCTCCAGGATTATTATAGTAGAAGTCTGGACAGGTAAGTGGCACCCCATCTAACAACGGCTGCCACAGTTCTGGTGAATGAAATGGGCACCTCTTATAGAATCTGATTGAACACGCTCATGCAGGTGTAGGAGTACTCCATTTTATCCGTACGATTTATTATTTTGATAATAAATTACACGTAGGAAGCCAGAAGAGGGTCCAAATTACACTATGTTCCCAGTAGACTAAGGAGAGGCTGCATCTTTGCAAAAGCCTGCCAGGGGATTTTCCTGAGACACTCATTATTTTTCAGCCCATTCTGAATCTACAAAGAAGGGGTGAAGAGGTGAATAGGTTAACTGGTTAGATTAACACGAGGTCTCAGAAAGTGCTAAATTAGATGCTGGGAAGTGTTAAACCATTGATCAAAGAGATGCCCCGCCTGCTACTCAAGAACCACGTTTATTCTCAAGGCCAGAATCTCTGACGTTAGATTTTCTCTTTACAGTATCGATCATATTTTTTACCTGCTTGACTGGTTAACGAACAGGTTTGGTCCTGTCACTAGATTTCTTCAGGGTTAAAATGTGAAAGAACTGTAAAACGCTTGTGTTTATTTGAATGGGCTCCTATTTAGTTCTCATTGTCTTTGAATAAAATTTATTACATGCCACTTATGTTCTTTTTAAGCTATTTGATTATCTTTTTTTCTGACTACAAATCCATTTGAGTCTGGCTAAAATAAGCTCCAATGTTTATTTATGATTCTCTTGGTCATTGAGTTAATTTTTTGTCATGCTTTAGGTATTATGCTAAAAATTATTGGTTATACAACTTTTATATATTTTTATAATTGTGTTGGCAAAAAAACCTAATCTTCTACCAATATATCTGAATGAGTCACAGATGCATAGAAAGAAGATGAAATGTGTTTGAGAAGTTTACTTTTTGCCACATATTTATAAAAGAAAGGCTTTTTACTAATGTTCCTTCATTATACTGCATTACAGCTGGCTTTACAATCTCAGATCTATGCTGAACACTGAGCTTTCAAAGCTTTAGTGCAACTTTCTATAAGTTAATGTAACGTAGATATACTTATAGTATTAAAAATAATGAAAATATGGGGTCTTATTATGGATGAAATAGGAAAAACTACAATACTACCTTAAAGTATTCATT